CCCTGCCTCGCTCCCTCTGACTTGCCCTCCGTGTCTTGCTGCGCCGCGTGCTCCAGCCAGCCCCGCTCCGGGGTTAAACCTGCCTTCCCGGTGGTTTAATCTTCAGAGCAGCCTTGTCTTGGACTCGGCAAGATCTTGGCCCCTGAATGCCCTCCATGCCAGCACCCAGCATCCTCCAAAACCCTGGTGGGGGACAGTACCCCCCCCAGCCTCCCCTTCCTAGGGCCATTCCCAGGTGAGCTGGATTCTCTCACAGCCACATTAGGTTTGGCTAATGACCTGGCAGCACCGGCAAAGGGGTGATTTATTCCCCGCAGAGTTGTGCAGTTTAATTCCAGCACGGTAGCATGGACAACACACAGAGCGGTTTGTCATGAAAGCATGGGCATGGGGTGATTTACTGACTAGATAAAATGTGGAGTGGTTAAATCACCCAGGCGACTTCTGGCCTGATTGATTCCCCAGCCTGGCCGGGAGCGTGCGTGCACTCTGGGAGGCACAGCAAGGTAAATTCTCGGGAGGAACCATTAGCCTGTAGAGCCTGCGGCTCCGTCCCAGCACCCCTCGCTGGAAGGAGCACCGCTGCACTGAAACACAGCCCTGGGGTCTACTTTGCAGCTGCGCGGTGGGAAGGGGTGGACAGGAACGACTGGAGGTCCCATGTGCCCCCCCAGGATGCACCGGCACGCACCCAGGCACGCAATGATCTCTGCTCAGCTGTGTCTCTTGTCTCTCCGGTTCCCAGCTCCCCCTGATGAACCAGTGGAAGGACGAATTCAAAGCTCACTCCAGGGTGAAATGTCCCAATTCAGGCTGCTGGCTGGAGTTCCCCAGCATTTATGGCTTGAAGTACCACTATCAGCGCTGCCAAGGGGTAAGGAGACTGGAGGGCTGTGTGTCCTTTCCAGTGGCCAGCTCTTACACTACCATCTACAGGGTAAAGCCCCTCTCAGGTCTTAAACCCCAGGAAGAACGTGAGATTAAAATGGGGAGGGCTCAGATGGGCCAGGGACAGTTTGTGGGGTGTGTACAAGAGGGACTGGGGTCCCTCCGGCTCAGTGTGAGGTCTGGCCTGGGGGGATCATGGACCATTGGTAACCGTTTGGAGGGGCAGAAGGGTATTACACACAACGTGTGTTTGTGCCTGCATCAGAAAAAGCCTGTCCCTTTTGTGGTCTAACGTCCGTGCCCTCCTGTCTCTCCTTGCTCCGCACAGGGTGCGATCTCAGAGAAGCTGACCTATTCGTGCTCGTACTGCGAAGCTGCCTTCACCTCCAAAACCCAGCTAGAAAAGCATCGGCTCTGGAATCACTTGGACCGGCCAGTGCCAACCAGCAAAGCAGAAAACAAAGTGCCGAAGGCCATT